CTTAGATATCATCTGAGATGCACAGTTCTTTTAATTGTATTCCTTGTATTATAATACAGAAGCCTTATTGATGTAGTGGTAAGGTGCTGGGGAAGGAGGCTTCCCTGGTGGCTCAGTGGTAAATAACCCATCTGCCAATGCAGAAGATGCAGGTTCAATCCCTGGGTTGGGAAGATCCCAAGTACAAGGAAATGGCAACCACTTCAGTATTTCTGCCTGGGAAATCTGATGGACAGTGGAGCCTGGCGGGCTACAGTACATGGGGTTTCAAAGAGTAGGACACAACTTAACGACTAAAAAAGGTGTTGGGGGACTGGCCATGTTCTATAGTATTATGTCTAGGCTTAATTTTTTTATTCAGCCTGTGCTCCTGGGCTGTACCCTACAGAAGTGTTCTCAGATTTTTTGTTGTTTTGTTTTCCTCTTTAGGTGGGACAGGAAAGCTAGAGGATGCTAGAGTTGTGTATTGCCTTCTCCAAGATTGGTTAGGCTCTAGTAATATCCCAGTAGATTAGGCTCTGGTACAGTAGTTTCTCTGGAGAGCAGGCTTTGCTAAGAACAGAATGTTCTGGGCATATTTAAATGTGACTAACTGTTCTTCCCTTCTTCCTGCTGGAAGGATGAGGGGATTTTTCTGCAATCACTGTGAGAACCTGATAGGTCTCCTGGTAAAAAAGTCGTAAAAGTGTGGGAGTCTCCATCAAGACTGTACCCCTTTGGAATTTTGAACTCTCAAACTTGTCCCCACTGAGCTTCCAACAATTTGTCAATTAAAGTTCAGGTATTGATATCAAACAAACAGCAATAACAAAAATTGCTATCCTAGTCTTAGTTCTCACAGAGTTTTCCTCTTCTGCGTTTCTACTCTGGTAAATTGTGCACAAGGTTTCCAGTTTCTCCAGATCTTCACCAGCATTCACTATTTTCCATTTTATTGATAATAGCCACCATAATGAGTGTGAAGTGATATCTCATTGTGGCTTTTATTTGTATTTCCCTAATGACTAGTAATGTTGAGCAATTTTACATTTGCTTATTGACCATTTGTATATTAGGCACTTTGCCCATTTTGTAACTAGCTTGTTTAGTTATTTGTTGTTGAGTTGTGGGATATATATATATATATATATATATATAAAATCTTGTTATTATTTTTCCCTATCAGATATGTGATTTGCAGATATTTTCTGCCATCCTTTTGGCCTGTGCTTCAGTGTCATATCTAAGAAATAAATGCAAAATTCAGTGTTGTGAAGATTGTCTCCTATGTTTTCTTCTAAGACTTTTGTGATTGTCATTCCTAATTCTTTGATCCATTTTGAGTTAATTTTTGCATATGGCATAAATTTAAAATTCAACTTAATTCATACGCATATGGATATCTGGTTTTTGCAGCATTTATTTAAAAGTCCTTTTTCCCCATTGAACAGTTGTCACTCTTGTCAGAAATCTGTTGACTGTTTATTTCTAGGCTCTCTGTTCTATTCCATTGGTCTATATGTCTATCTTTATGCCAGTGCTATATTCTTTTGGTTATTATTGCTTTGTAATAAGTTTTAAAATCAGGAAATGTGAGTCCTTTATATTTGTTTCTCATTTTCAAGATTTTTTGGCTAGTAAGAGTCTTCTGGGGTTCCATGTGAATTTTAAGATGAATTTTTCTATTTCTATGTAAAAAGTCACTGGGATTCTAATAAGGATTGCATTGAATCTGTGATCATTTTGAATAATATTGTCATCTTAACAATATTAAGTCTTCAAATTTATGAACATGGGATTATTTACATTTAAGTCTTTAATTTCTTTTAGTATCATTTTATAATTTTATGTGTGCAAGTCTTTTGCCTCCTTGCTTAAATTTATTAAGTATTTTCTTCTTTTGATACTATTGGAAATGTTATGTTTTCTTAATTCCTTTTTTGAATTGTTTATTGCTGTTATATAGAAATGCATCTGAATTTTTCAGGTTGATTTCATATTCTGAAATGTTCCTGAATTTGTTAGCTAGCTCTAACAGGGTTTTTTGTGGATTCTTTAAGGTTTTCTACGCATGATATAATGTCACCTTCAAAGAGAGATAATTTTATTTCTTCCTCTTTGATTTGGATGCCCTTTATTTCTTTTCTGGCTTAATTTCTGTCTAGAATTTTCAGTAGTCTGTTGAATAGAAGTGACAATCATTGTCTTTTTTCTGCCTTAGAGGAGAAGCGTTCAATCTTCACCATTTAGTATGATATTAGTTGTGGAGTTTTTCTTAACCTAAAGTCAGGGAGAGTGGGGTCTGCTAATATTCCCCATCTCTCATATCTACCCAGAATATGTCTGCCATAGGACACTGGGAAGATAGTAACTGCCACTCAGTTGTCAGAGCAACTGTAACAGCTTGCCTACAACATAGATGTGTACCAGAAAGAGGGACTGCATTCTTTACCAACTATCCTGCCTATTTTTCAGAAGCTGTGGGTAGGGAAATAGGTGCTGCTCTCCTGACATCACCCACTTGATTCAGGCCTTTTATTGCACAGAACTATGGAAAATGGGATCTACCTATTTTCACTGTCTGCCCAAACTAACCAGAACTCTTCTACTCCAGGTATCTGGGAGATGTGGAAACTGCCTTACACTGAAGCCGTTCTTCCACAAGGCAGATATAAATATAGTTTCTAGCTTCACTACCAAGGTTTCCCACTGTTATTACTTATTCTCCATAGATTTTGTTGAATAACTACTCAATCTGTTGTAAACCCTTTGATCAATCTCTAGAACATTTGAATGATTGTACTTGGTAATATTGATAAGCTTAATAGTTGTCTCTCCAGGGAAGAGGTTTCTCTAAGTTCCTCACATTAACATTCTGGGTGGGCTCTTACTATCTTGATGTTATATTTGACACATAAAAACTTTTAATTTGATTAAGTCAAATTTATCTTTTAAAATAATCTTGCTTGTACCTTTTATATCATATTTTAAGAGGGCTTTGCCTAACTCAAGATTTAAAAGATGTACTCCTGTGTTTTCTTCTAGTTGTTTTAATGTTTCATTTCTTATGACTTGGTCTTTGATCCATTTTGAGTTAATTTTGTACATAGCGTAAAATATGGGTCCTTTTTTCTTTTGGCTATCTGTATGTTGTAAATGCTATTATGTGAGTCTTATAACTCATGAATATATATATGGGATCTTTTCCATTTATTTACCTCTTTTGAAATTTATTTTAGCAGTGTTTTTTGTTCTTTGGAGTTTTTATTTGGGCACACTGTGCAGCTTACAGGATCTTAGTTTCCCAACCAGGGATCCAACCCAGGCTCCCTGTACCACCAGGTAATTCCCTTTAGCAATGTATTTTAGTTTTCACCTTACACATCTTATACTTCTTGTGTTAAATTTATTCCTAAATATTTTATACTTAAATCTGTTGTGAATAGGGATAAATTAGGAGGATGGGATTAACATATAAAAAGAAAAATCTATTGTGAATGGAATTAATCTTTTACTTTCTTTTTTAGATTGTTCATTGATAGCATATAGAAATAAAATTGATTTTTATATGTAAGAACATTGTATTACTTTTCTGTCTAGCATAACAAATTTCTACAAACTTAATGACTTAACACTATTTTATTAATTCACAGTCAGAAGTCTAGGTACAGTGTGGCTTATTTGGGTTCTCTTATTCACAAAGAGTCGGACACGACTGAGCAACTTCACTTTCATATTTTTTTTATTAGAATCTTACAAGGCCAAAATCAAGGTGCTGGCAAAGCTGCATTCCTTTCTGGAGATTCTGGGAAAGAGTTTATTCCCAAGTTCTTTCAGATTTCAGAAATCATTTCCTCCTTAGACTTTCTATGTGACCTTTCCATCTTAAAGCCAGCAATGATGGTTCAAGTACTTCTTGTGTTTCAGACCCCTCTGGCTATTCTTCCATCAGCTGGAAAAAATTCTCTGTTTTTATGGGCTCGTGGAATTACATTGGGTCTGTAAAAATAATCCAGAATAATCTCCCTATTTTAAAGCCAAATGATTAATAACTTTAATTACAATTGCAATGTCCCTTTTGCAATGTAGTGTAATAGTCACAGGTGTAACTCCAGAAAGTGAAGATCATGGGGGCCAGAATTCTTATTTATTAGTTCAAGTAGTGTTTTAGATTCCTTAGGGTTTTCTCTTTACAAGATCATGTCCTCTGCAAATGAAGATGGTTTCATGTTTCCTTTTACAATTTGGATGCCTTTATTATTTTTGTCTAGGCTGTAGCGTCTATATGCTGTTGGATAAAACTAGCGGGAGGAGACATCCTTGTCTTGTTCCTAAACTTAGGAGGAAAATATTTAGTCTCTCTCCATTTATTGTGATTCCCTGATGGCTCAGATAGTAAAGAATCTACCTGCAATGCAGGAGACCCAAGTTCAGTTAAAAATCAAAAATGCCTAACAGCCTTTTATTTTAATGTTTTGGAACATTTTGCAAACTTTTCTTATTCCTTACAAAATACATGCACTCCAAATGAGAAACTCAGCCTCTGTCCTCCTGTTTATGACAGTGCTGCTTCTCTTGTTTTTATTTTTTCCTCTAAATACAAATTTTTCAACTTCCTGATTTTGTACTTCTTTTCAGTGGAAATTCTGATATATGTTGGTTTGTTTTACTCAACTTGTAGACCTTGACTACTATTTGTAAGGTATTGTGCTAAGAACTCTGTTAGGATTACTCTGATGAGTAATCAGATTAGCTTAGCAAATTATATGTGTATTAAAAAACTAACCTTGTGAAAAGATATACAAAAGTCTAGATTTAGGTTCATAAATGGACTACTAGCAGTACTGGTAATGTTTTTATATAGTCCAGTTAATGGACTCACAACACAGAGTAGTTTGTACATATTTTGCTTTGAAAAGAAAAAGCAAGAGGAGAAAATAATGGGATCTTACAAGTAAGCAGAATACACATAGTTTACAAAGCTCTTCATCTTGTAACAAAGTCTTGATTCTTTCTCATAGACCAGAAGATCAATTCAGAAGTTGTTAGAATGGGAGAATAACAGATTGTATCACAAGGTAAGAAAGTTTAAGCAAATAAGTATTCCATTCATATTTACATTAATACATTGAAAAAATGGAAAATTTTCAGGCCACAAAAGCATGGATTAGAGAATACTCATTTTTTAATATTTATTCTTTGCAAAGTATTTTTAAAAGTATCTTATTCCTCAATTGTTGTTCAGTGGTTTATTCAAATGTGTAGGTAATAATTAGTATAAATTGTTGATAAAATTCTTAAAAAACTTTACCTTCTTAGCTTGCTTTGCACTGGAAGTTGACTAAAAGGAAATGTGAAACTAGCAATATGATGGAGTATGTAAGTATGCAGTTATCTTTAATTGCATATTTTTGGATTCCATCCTGAATGTTACATTTTACTGTATTTATCATTTGTCACATCTTCTTTCTACCTTTTTTCTTCTCAGCTTGAACTTTTGTCATTTGGAACATAGAGGTTTCCTTCCACATTTTTAGGTTTGTAGCCAACATAAAATATCTTGAAAGCTGACAATTATTTAGATCTTAGAAAAACTTTAGCTAGTATGCTCAGATGAAAACATGGTAAAAACCTTAATCGTCTTTTAACACAGGTGCAAACCATAACACATGTGGATGGGCACAGATGAACAAATATATCTAAATGTAATCTTGTCAAAACTTACATAAAATAGGAATTGACTTCTGAGTTCATATTCCTGGCTTTTTTTTTTCTTAGCTGATATTTATTAATAGCTTTTAGTGAAGAAACTATAGATTCTAATTTTTTTAAACTGAAAGATCTGCGATCTTAGTCGCAACGCATAAAGTCACGTATAGCCAATGTGACAAATTGAGTATCATTAACATTCAAAAGAATATGAAATTTATCCAGACTTTAAGTTGCTGACGTGATATATATTTAATAATAAACATTTCATTTCTATTTCATAAGTAAGGATTATTATGTATCTTTCTCCACTTTGAATAGTTTTGAGGATAATGTGCAAATGACCACAAATCTAAAATTCTCTGTAGGTAAAACCTTGTATAAACTATTGTAACTTTATGTAGCTTTATAAATATATTGTTTTTATTTCCAAACCTTTTTTAAATTAAAATGTTTTAATCAATCCATTTGAACACTATTTTTTACGAAAAAAGCTTCTGAAAGATAGTAATACTCAACCAATATCAGCTATTTTAATTGAAAACTATATAAATGTGATATAAGTGAAGGTATTTTTTTCTAATCCTAATCCTAATAAATTTTTGTTAGAGATTCTAATTCTAATAAAATTTGTATCCTTTCCATTTAGTCCGTTCCACTTTGCTACAGAAGAGGGAACTGGGGGAGAATGGGAAAGACATTAAAATATAATAGGGTTTGCTTTTCTGTTAACTAAACAGTTACTGTAAATCAGACAAAAACTATTAGCTATAGTAAGTAATTATGTTTTCCAGTTTAATTGCCAATCTAATGATAACTTGTGGTAAGTTCCTTTTGTAACTGTTTTATATATTTCACTTGCTTTATAGTATAAGACCAAAACATAGTCCTGTGAGAAATGATTATAGACTTTTTGGGTTATGTATAAGTTACAGTAAATGAAAATTTTGTCAACATATTCTTGTTTGTTTTTATTTTACAGGTAATACTAATAGAATTCTTACCGAAATATCCCATATTTCGACCTGACTGAGGGATTTTATTCAGTCACTTCTGTTTTACCTGTCATTTCCTACCCTTAGTGCCTTGTAGATGATTTTGGAATGAAGATGGTCTCCTTTGCTGTGTTCAATTTATTCTTTATAATGGTAGAATATTCTCCTCACACTTTTCATTTGTGTTGGTTTAAGAAGAAATTTTGCACATCCTTTTTGTTGTTGTTAAATGAGGCTTGTATTTTGCACTGTCAATTTTTAAATAAATACACACACACATATGTGTGTGTGTGTATATGTATATATGTGTATATATATATATATATATAGTTGCCACTAAATATAACATCAGTGCAGGTGTTTAAAAAACAAAAACATGTTCTGAGCATGCTGCCTTATAATTTTCATACTTACTGTTTCTAAATAGGCATCATTTTTCTAGGCTATTTAATGCTCTGTAATCCCTTACTGAACATACATAAATAAGCTTTTGGTAGCTTTTAGAAACGGTTTTACTCTTACCTGCTTTTAAAGGACATGCAATTAATAGCACTGGTTTTGTCCTGCACTTTGCTTAATTATCACTTATGTTAGTGGATAAAATATTTAAACTCCTAAAGACCTGTAAATATTGTTTCTTTGCATAAAGTAAAAAAAATGTGATATGCCATGGTTTACAGAATGTACTGTTATTCTTAATGTATTGCCAACAATTCTGCATAAATTTTAATGTGAATGAAGTTTGCAAGCATCCTTTTGAATGTATAGATTGTTAACATGCTGTGTTATGGCAAAGCCATAATAAGTATGTTAAAAATTTCAGGTGTGGGCAGGATGGCCCTTTGTAATGAGAAGATTAAAATTGAAATCATTGTCTGAGACCTTCTGCATTGCACCTGAAACCAAGAACCTTATCTTTCCATTTAGTTCAGTATGTCCCCTTTTGTCCTCCACTTACAAAAGAATTCATTTGACATCTGACACATTTCACAGCCTCACTCTCCTCATTTATTTCCCTTTATGTATCCTTTTCTTCACTTGGAAATACGCAGGATTATGACATTTAAGGGTTGTCTCAAATTTCAGATGTCTTAGAAAGTATCTAGACCCCACCCCCAGGAAAGCCACTGCTAACCCGTTTCTGGAGTTACGATCCACTTTGAGAAAGAGAGAGCGAATTGAAAAGCTCTACCTAAAGTGGCAGATTCATAATTGATTAAATACTCTTAATCCTCATTTTGGGGATCTTTTTTAAAGGTATGAATGTTATTAATGAGGAAAGACAATAATTTAACAAAAATATTTTAGTTTCTAAATTAGCCACACATGCAGCCTTTTCATTGATATGTACATATTTCTCTATTTCTCTTCACCTTGGAATAAGAGCAGACACTCTTAATTCTTCTAGAATTTGAGTTTTTAACCTAATGAAAACTTTACACTGCATTAGTTCAACTGCAAATTATGCCTGTATGCAGACACTATTTGTAATTTGTAGTGCTGAAAATAAAAGTACCTGAGACTGAATAATATTTTATTTATTATTTTAGTCTTACTGCTATTAGCTTTTTTAGGCAAACATTCATCCCAGTGAAGAGAGCAATCATTTTTTTATACAAGGCCTTTTAAAGCCACTTTTAAAATTTATGCCTAATTTGAAATCCGCAGTCCTGGACCAGTAAAAGAAAAGGGAAAAAAATAGATTTTTGATATGTGATTATAATTGCATGAACAACTTTTCCACCTCTCTCTGTAGAACCCTGTTACCCCCATGCCACCTAGAATCTCTAACTTTTAATATATTGTGTGTGCCTGCAAATATCATTTGTCTGTCTGCTGAAAAATTGAAGGTGCATTTTTATAGACAAAGTGGAAACCTCTGAAAATGTATACCAAATGTCTCGTTTTATAGATAAGTTCGGGGAAAAATTGTATCTGTGGTTTATGTTCCAGCTAGTATCATCAGGTTTATGTTTCAAATTGTGACAGTTTAATACCAAAATTGATTTCCAGCATAATACAAAATTTCTAATTATCACTGATAGAATAATTACTTTGAGTCAACCCTTGTAATTTCATTTTTTTCCTGTAAACTTAGAATTTGGCCATATGATGGTCATAGTAATTTTTTCTGCCATGTATAGATCACACTTGTTTTGCTCAAAGAACAGCAGGAAGTGGTGAATTGTTTCTATAAAACTAATATTGAGACAGGAATAGAGTGCATCTGGAGGTAACAGAGTATATAATTCAAGTTACAGTAGTATTTGTCATAAAAAACATTTACCAGCATGTGTAAACTTAATTTTAAAATCTATTCTAATAACTCTTAAATTTATTATCTTATTATTCATTATGCTGATTGACTTATTTTCTTGAACTACTCAGAAAATACCCAATTTTTTTTCTTTCTTCTATGACTGCTTTTTCAAGCTCTTTTCCTTTGCAGGGGACTGATTAGCAGTTGAGTATTTTTGAGTCCTTCAAGAGATTTGTTTTCTTTTCAGTGATATTGACAGCAGTGAATGCTGAAATGACAGAGTACACTGTGGACATTAATTTCTCCCTCACTGACTTTTTTTCTTATATCCTCAGGATAGAACACGTCAAGTTAATGAAGTATTTTTGTGCTAATTGTTTTTAGGTTAAAGAAACAAATTTGAGTTTTCTTTGTTATATAATATTCATTTATGAAACCTGCTATGGATGTTTCCAGAGAAAATAACATGTATCTACTGAAGTATATAAATCTTACAAAGTTTTGAGGTTACAAGTTAAAACTGTTCCTTCTCTGACTTTCCATTATGCATCTCTACCCCCATAAATTGTGTATAAAATGAAATAAGCTTTAACATTTTTCAGCTATTCTTTGATTCTTTCTACCCTCTATGTTAATCTAGGAAGAAACCATTGTAGTCAAATGTTAGAAGTAGATGGAGAAGTGCCTTGTTGTCTTTGAATAAAGATAACATTTTATGTTGAAGGAAGCAGAACAAATGAATTGGTAAATCATTACATTAAAACCATCCTTTTCAGCTAAGTATAATATAAGAATATTTTATTAGTAATTGTATTTCTTCTATTTCTTATTTAAAGCCTATTTCCTGGGTTTTCCCCAATCATGAAATATGTTAGTGACAAAATATTACAGAACAGAAGTATCAGTCACTTATAAACCTAGTATAATTCTAATGCTAGTAAACATGTAATTTAACATGGTCCTGAAAAAACAATAGTCTTTGATTGAAGCTCTACTAAAGCCTACTGAAGTATTTAACACACACACTGTTCATGTTATCATGACCTATAAACACTAATGTCTGATCAGTTAATCAAACTGTTACTATCTAGCACTCTACCATTTTAATGAAATTTATTCTTGTTTTATCATAGTTTGAGTGAAGTTCCATAACATTTGTAAGCCTTCAAACAAATGGGTTTTTTTAAATGTAAAATCTCTTTTAAAATCATTAGCATTTTAATTTTGTTTATAAATTACCACTCAAAAAATCAGACCTCACTACTTAAAGCCTCCAAACACTTTTTTTATTAGAATTGACTATATTGACCTGAGAGGGTATATGGAAATTTGTATACACCCATTTAATTGAAACAGTTTCACATAGTGGGAATACTTTTTGCTAATTTGATAGTAAGATGCTTAGATTCACTGAAATTAAGTCCTCTTATGCTTATAAAATTCTACTTTAATCCATTGTGTAACAATTGTTAAATCCTTTGGGTTACTTTAAATGATGAACTATTGGAAAATTTTCCATAGAAAGTGAATAATGAATAGATTTTATTAATAATACCTGTCCATGTAATATGTGGAATATATATATATGTGTGTGTGTGTGTATTATATATACACATCTTCCTATATTACCCCCAGTTTCTCTTTTCCTGATTCTGAGCCAGCCTTTTCATTTTTATGATGGCAACCTGGGAATATGTTACATTTTCTGTGGAATTTTTCAGATTCATACTATATGAGGAAATGATCTAATGTGCTCCAGGCAAGTCACGTACATTACATGTCAGTCTCTTCATCTGTAAAATCATGAGATTGAACCTAGAGCTGTACAGAATATTAGAGGTCACCTGACATTCTGTGATACTAGGAATCCTTAGGAAATTTTTACTCTACAGAATCTCAGAATGATTTTTCTCAAATCTACTACCCTGCATGGAAATTCTCACAGTGCCTTGCACACAATAAAAGTTTGATTTGCCAACAGGCACCTAGCTGGTATGTGTTCATATCATACAGACTCAAAGAACCTGATGCCTGTGAGATCTCAGCACCTCCCTGGTGATAAGAATGATTGTAGTTTCCCTAGGAACTGAGGACTGAGGTCTATGGGCTTTACCTATGTGGAATCTGACTATATATGCAGTTGGTACCTGAGCAAGAATTATGGCTGCAACAGTTGTGGAGGTATGGTAAGACCCACCTTGACATTGATGTGAAAGAGAATTTTATATCCCATCCAATATCTGCTTCAGTGTCTTAATTATTTCCATATCCTCAAAAACATCTGTTGGAACAAGTTAATAATATTAGAAAGGAAAGTGATATAGAAGTCAAACCCAAGTCACTTCTGGTTTAATTCTTAGCTCTGCTGCTTAATTCTTCTGTACCTCATGTCCTCATGGTGAAAGTGGGGACAATAATCTGGACCTACCTCACAGGGGAATTGAGGATTTTTTCATATATAAATGTGCTTTTGAAATTGACTGAAGGATGTGTTGTATATCATGATTTTGTAATTTCTAAATAGAGTCCTTTAAATCTATGTTGTTATGTTTCCTTTCTCAGTCAAACCTTACAGAATGAGTATTGCAATTAATCTAGTTTTGGTAGTAATTTTGTTATTAATCCCTTACGTGTTAACATGGATAATTGTGCTATAATTGTGTTATAATACTTGATTTAGGGGAGGAAAAGCACATGGATATAAACCAGTGGTTCTCAACTTGAGGCAGATGAAAATAGCAGTGGGGTCATCCTTGAACCTTTTTCAGTATTTCAAAA